AAAAAAAACTATGTTATGCCGAAAACTAACTGAACAACTTTTGCCTCAGGGTCACATCAAAATTCTTCACCGAATTGCAAAAAAAAAAAAAAGTTCCATTATTATTATTATTATTATTATTTTTGGCCCGGCTGGGGCAAGTGGTCCCGGGCCACTCTGGTAGCCTAGGATGGATTGCAATAATGGAAAAAGCAAGCATATCAATAATCATGAAGAGAAGATGTGATGAAGAAGAAGGGAGCAAGACTGGCCTCTGCACCTTTCTCAATGCGATAACAACTAGGAAATACAATGCATGGCTAATGTCTTGCTTGTCATGGTCCTGTCCCTGCTGAATCTCTTCTCTTGCATTTGCTGGCTTACCACACCAATGCACGCAGCCATGCAAGTTGTGCGTCCAGCGAGTTCGTTGCCGCAATCTTTCTAACGCCTCCATGAGAAGTGATCGTCGGCAGCCTATCGCACAAAACCATTTGACAGCCTCACTGTTCACAATATCAGCAACACACTGCAGAACCCAATCCGGCTTTAAAAAGACTCCCATTTGCTGCAAGGCCAGCATGGTGTGGTCCCGGCTGATCGCTAACTCGCCTAGCGCCCCATACGAGTAAGCTATATGGCGATGCCAGCCCGCGACTCGTTGCCTGGGGATCTGCAAACTTGCCACTTTGCCCAAGTTCAGCGCTTCCTTATAGTATGTGATCGCCATGTTATATTCGCCGAACTTGAAAAGCGCATCATCCGCCTGCTGGGCAGGAACACACACAAACACGTTCTCAACGTGAGTAGTAGAAAAGATGTCCCTTAGGACATCTGTCATAAAAAAATCGGAACAATGCACATAACATTCTTTGCCTCTTTGACCTGCCGGGACCGACTGGGACTGGGCCCAGGTGGGAATCCAGTACAGGGACTTGGGACTCCGGGACCAGGTGGGAATCCAGGACAGGGATTCGGGACTCTGGGACTTCAACGTGCAATACACAGAACATTCTTTGCCTCTTTCACCTACCGGGACCAAGTGGGACTAGGCCCAGGTGGGACTCCAGGACAGGGATTCAGGACTCTGGACTCCGGGACCAGGTGGGAATCCAGGACAGGGATTCGGGACGCTGGGACATACACAGAACATTCTTTGCCTCTTTCACCTACCGGGACCAAAGTGAGACTGGGCCCAGGCGGGACTCCAGGACAGCGACTCCAAACTCTGGGACCGGGATGCACTATACACAACATTCTTTGCCTCTTTGACCTACCGGGACCAAATGGGAATGGGCCCAGGTGGGACTCCAGGACAGGGACTCGGGACTCTGGGACCAGGACGGGCCGGACATACAGATAGCATGAAATCTTTCCAGGACATCTGTCATCAAAATCGGAACAATACACATAACATTCTTTGCCTCTTTGACCTGCCGGGACCAACTGGGACTGGGCCCAGGTGGGAATCCAGTACAGGGACTCGGGAATCCGGGACCAGGTGGGAATCCAGGACAGGGATTCGGGACTCTGGGTCTTTGACGTGCAACACACACAACATTCTTTGCCTCTTTCACCAACCGGGACCAAGTGGGACTCCAGGACAGGGACTCGGGACTCTGGGACCGACGATGCGCAATACACAGACCATTCTTTGCCTCTTTGACCTACCAGAACCGAATGGGAATGGGCCCAGGTGGGACTCCAGGACAGGGACTCGGGACTCTGGGACCAGGTGGGAATCCAGAACAGGGATCCGGGACTCTCGGACTTCGACGTGCAATACACAGAACATTCTTTGCCTCTTTCACCTACGGGGACCAAGTGGGACTGGGCCCAGGTGGGACTCCAGGACAGGGACTCCGCACTCTGGACCAGGATGTGCAATACACAAAACATTCTTTGCCTCTTTGACCTACCAGGACCGAATGGGAATGGGCCCGGGTGGGACTCCAGGAGGAGGGACTTGGGACTCTGGGACCAGGATGGGCGGGACATATAGATAGTGTGAAATCCTTTCAGGAACAATAGACAGAACACATTCTTTGCATCTTGGTTTTTATACCCTCACAGCCACGCTAAGGGCGAGGTCCCACTAGCAAAGAGGATTGGATTGAATGCCTGCATCTGGACGTATATGTTGGAAGGTGCAGGAAATCGAGATTGAAATGCTTTTCTGCACCTCTGCTTAAAACACGTCCTCGGTTTAGAAGCTTAATCCAATCCTCTTTGCTAGTGGGACCCCGCCAAGGTAAGCTCAGTGACCAGGCAAACATGCAACATAGAGAATATCCGCATGGCCCCTGTGTGAAGGGTCGTGTCCCCGACTCGTACAAGGACCTTTACAGGTTTGTCGTGTGAGGCCTGAAAAAAGTCCTGTAGAATTGAAAAAGGAAAAATGAAAAAGAAAAAAGCCCTGTAGGTCTTCGGGGCATCTGTTAAATTGGAACGATACAGACAAGATTACCATGGTCAGAAGAAACTGCAGCGTGAAACACGCGCACCAAGCTTGGGAAAAAAACCAGCAGACAACCTCGATAAATGACCCCTCGTCTTAGCACTCATCCAAAAATCACACACACACACACACACACACACACACACACACACACACAGACACAGAGAGAGAGAGAGAGACACAGAGAGAGAGAGAGAGAGAGAGAGAGAGAGAGAGAGAGAGAGAGAGAGAGAGAGAGAGAGAGAGAGAG